TCGCTACTAGGAGCAAGGACGCTAGTAGGCGCTCCTGGCCTTACTACTAGGAGGAAGAAGCTACTAGTAACTAGTAACAAAGCGCATGGCTACTGCCGACACCCTGTTGTCAAAGTGTGCACAGCCAGCTCACAGCACCGGCACCAGCAGGCACCAGCGCCTCCCACATCCTGTGAAGGGCGAGCACAGCCAGATTGCAGTGACGGTGCTCTGGTGCCGACACCCTTTCTCCAAATGCCCACAGCCAGCTGACACCAGCAGATTTCGAGCAAATCTGAGCAAGCGGACACGGGCGAGTGAAAGCAAACTGTAAACACGATCAGATTCTTAGCATCGTGCCTATGCGGCAGCAAAGAATCCAAAGAGCGTGAAGAAATAGCATGCGCAGGGTGTGCCCATTGTTCCCAAGCTCCCAAGCGCGCACCGGCGCTGGAGCGGCACCAGCACCAGGCTCCCATCAGCACCCTGCAGCACCAGCGCCGAGGCCCCCAAGTGCACACAGCAGCGGTGGCCCTGGAACCCAAGCTCCTAAGCGCACACATGCACCGCTTCCTATACTCCAATAGCTCACGCTACCTGGGGAAAAACACTTATGTTGTACTCATCGACGATCTCATATGTCCCCGACATCGGTATATATCCCGTCACTGTGTCGTGCGCAGGGGCCGCGCGCTTCATCGTCTTGAAGCGGAGTTGTCTGCCCGTGGCGCGGTCCATTGCCCGCTTTGCCCAGGACGGTCCATGGACTCTCCGACATGTTGGGGGTTCGAAACCGTTTAACCCAGGGTGCGCCGCATGGGACATCATGGAAGACCGTGTCTTCGCTGGGTGGGAGGATGCACATTTGCCGGGCTTTGGGGCACAGATGACCTGCCTCCTGAGGCTCATGACCACGAAAGCCTTTGACGCGGGCTTGAGGAACAAGTTTTCCAGGGTAGGGGTAGGGGATTGTATTCTTCTCGGATGGATTTGAACGACAAAGCTAACTTTGGCTTGGCATGCCCTTCACTTTCGCTTGTCGGCCATGGGATGATGGCTTGAAGTTGTAGGAAGATCTAGGAAACCACGAAGGTACTGTTTTCTGCCATGTTCTCAGGATCATTCATAATTATGAGTGGCTGTTGGAACACGGCCCTTCCTGGTGCCTCCTGTCTCCTCACAAAGCGTTCAACAAGGAAGGGTTAAAGAGGCCCGTGCGATGACCCTGACTTCAACTCCGCCTGAAAAACGAACTTGATCAAGATCACGCCGCCGCCGTGTTGTTGGGGGGTGCCAGCACCACCGCAAGGCAGCATGGTATGGGGCCAAAGATGAGAAGTGGTGTCTTGGACGATCTTGAAAGCTTTCAAGGGGCCTGAGAGAAAGCGGTGAAGCTTTGGCTGAGGGTTGTGTCTTTTCCGTCAGGGTCTTAGGTCTTTCCTGCAAAGCATGACTGAAGATGTCGAGGAAGCAGCTCAAAGAACAGCTTCTGTGCCACTTCCGCCCCAGCAATGGCTTTCTGGACTGCTTGGAGGCTGGATGATGCTGGATGTGTTGTCGGATGGGAGACCAAATTTGGATGAGACCTCAGAGACGCAATTGCCAAAGAAGACATGGGAGTCTTGCATCAATGTCTCTGAGACGGAGTGGGATTTCTTGCGGTACACCACCTCCTCTACGAGATGTAGCCCATTTTTGGCCATGGCAGGTGTGCCACTGGCTATTTTGCATGTGAGATCGGTTTTTTCAGCGTGGCTACGCTGGGCACCTGTGACCTTTCCCGCACTTTCAACTGCTTGTTCTAGTGCATTTTTTGCACCGCCCTCTCCAGGCCTCTTCTCATCCACGGTGCATGTTTGCACGGGGCCTGGTGGAATGGGCCCTCAGCGCCCGAGGACTCAGGTCGTTTGTGGCGCCGAGGGTGGAGAGCCGTTCGTGGCTGTAGGGCCGTAGGGGGTTGGGGATTACAACCATTGCCCGCCTTGCCTACAAAGCAATGGCCTCCACCCTAAGAGCGATGACCGGTCCATTGCCAAGCCATGGCCGGTCCGCCTGCAGATTCCGATGTTCCAAGGCCATGTGCCATGTTCCAAGGCGTGGCCACCGCGGCCCCTTTTGTTTCCCAGCTCGCAGTCTTAGGTGAAGGAGCAGTATGGGCCTCCGAAGTCCATTGCATGCAGGTTTGCAAGGCATGCAGGGCACCCACTTGCGTGGTAATACTTGTGAGAGAGAGAGAGACATAGAACATAGAAATAGAAGTAAGAAAAGACAAACAGGAAGGATTTTTCATGATTTCCCTAATCCTGCGTTCAGATCGGTGAAGTGAACAACACACGGTCCAATCTGCAGAAAGTCGCTCAGTTCGGATCCTAACAGGTCCACAGGACGGTCCACATTGTCAGAATGTGAGCAACGGTCGAAAGTAACATCCCACGATGCGAAAGCCTTGAGAAAGCTTCACATCAAAATATGCATAATGGCATATAATGGCAAATCATTACCTATTATATCTATTTACAGTACATGATTGACAGTGAATCGGGTGAACGTTTGCATGAGGTCCATGCTGCGCACGTGGCTTTCGATGGCGGCTTCGAGGATTTTGTGGAGATCAGTCTCGCGGCTGAGTTGTTTTGGGGTTATTTTTGATGGAGATGGGGACACTCATCCAATTGGAGAATGGCGCTCCAAAAGATTCCATGTGCTTTTGAAGGATCTTTGTTGTCACAAAGAAAGTGACATGAACTGGATGAACTGGGAGGATTTGTTTGTAAAATGGTATGGTCCTTAGGTCCGTAAACCCCGGATAAACTGGTTCAATAATGTTCAATACGACAGCTCACCTGAACGCACCAGTTGCTCGTCTACTGGAGTGCAACCTCGGATTGCAGAGGAGCAGCAGTATGCAGCAGTAGCATGATGGCACATTCGTGCAGGTCTTCCCCACATGGCATGGTGATAGGCCCGTTTCTTCATGTTTCTTCTACTCATCAGCCAATCGAGTCAATGCTCGGATCTCACTCTGCGAAATGGGTGATGCAGTGATGCCGCTAATCCGGACACATTCATTCGACATCATTCGACACTGTTGGCTAAGCCTTTTTCACGAAAGCTAGCACCAGCTAAAGGTTGGAGTTGTTCTTGCTTTAGCAAGTGAGGGGCTGTTGTAAGGAGGTAGCGATGCGCTTTGTTACTAGGGAGGGGAGGGGGCAAGTCCGAGGTTACGAAGACTTGCTGCAGCACCCGGACCAGGTGCTGGACGCGTTGGAGGTGCGAATTTCCGGGCGTCGATGGGCTTCAGACATGAGGGATCCTGACGGATCGCCACAGAAGTTCCAGCCAGGTTTGACAACACCTCAAAGGGTCTTTCGTGTCTTTCGAACTTCAGTTCCAGCCTCGTCACAAAGGAATGTCGAACTGAGTTTGTTCTCTTCAGGAGGGTGACCCAAAACTCTGTCAGAGAGGAAACAATACAGAACCTCAAGGCAACAACAGTGACCTTTGTCTTCCCTCTTTTGCGATTTGCAAGGCATCAATCTTCGGTTCTGCTGCAGAGGGTGCTGCGGCTCGTGCCTGGGCACGAGATGTGCTGCGATCAGATGTGCAAGAACCAGTGAAAGAGGCGGAGCAGGAGGCAGGGTTTTCTATCGGATCCTAATGTGATTCTCTGGCAGATCTGACTCCGCATAACGGAAAGCTGGTCAACTGGAGATTGTTGTTGTCGTACATGGACATTTCCGGACTTGCAGGTGTACAAACCTGTTCTTGAAGCCTTTGGTAGCATGGGTTTCAGGAGACCCTTCCACGCTATCTCTCGCTTTCGGTCTGGGTTGGTCAAAGGACCCAACCGATTGCATTCCAGCATGCTTCATCTCCACCGGCTTTGTGCAGATGTCAAACAGTAGTTTGAACTCTAACTTCTACTCAGTTGTTTGTTCGTCTTTTTTCCCCACGGCCCTTTTGCCTCCTCGTGTTCCGCGGAGTGGCCGACTCCAAGTGTTACTTGAGCTGCCGAGGCTCCGAGGGTTTTTCATCCCGACAGGTCTTGGACTTGCTCCATGGCAGCGGCCTAGAAGGCCTCATCGAGGTGCCTTGGACATTTCCCGGTGTGGGGACAGGCCGACCGGCCGGGCTGGGAGTGCTACTTGAGCATCTTTCTTTCACCAAAAAAAATCAGCAAACTCAAGAAGCTACATACTATAAGTAATTAGCAAGGACGCTATTAGGTGGCCATCGCTACTTGGAACAAGAAGCTACTTCTGTTGTTCCCATCACGTTAGGCTATATAGTGATTGAGGTGTCTCCCGAAAAGTTACCTATAGGGATCTATTCATGATTGGCACCTCTTGACCAGTTCTTCAGGGGATCAAAGGTGGACCTCAATATCTATTTGGGATTATTTGGGTGTGTACTTTAATAGGGTGGCCCGTGGCCCCTAACCCAATAGGCTTCGGTCTGTTTCCCTTCTTTTATGGGGTTGAACTGGAATCCTTTTTAATCATATTTCCGTTCTTTCAATATGTGCTGCGGGACCTGGATTTGACACTTCTTGTCACCTTAGGTCCTCTCCGGTCGCTCGCCGGCCGTCACCGGAACTGGAACTCCGTGGCCGAAGCAGGCCGAAGCACCGTGGCGCAGGCAGCCGAACCATGCAAGGACCGCGGCAAAAAAGAGGGCACGGTGCGACCGTTCCGAACACCGGTGGATTTGGATCCGGATTGACGATGGCGTAACATGGGTAAAGGGATCGCGCACAAAAGGATGGAATTCATTTTAACAGGCTCCACGTTCTGTTTTGCATTTGAACGTGGACAAGCAAAAAATTAAGGAAGGAATCGTTGAGCATAAATGAGACTCCACAGGAGCGTCCAAGAGTTGACAGTTGAAACATGTGACGATTGAGCACCAAGTCTTGTTTCACTCTTCAAACTTCTTAATGATGTCCTCCATCCCAAGAACCATGGACCATGGAGGCTTCTCCATCGGGTGAACTCGGGTCGGTCTGTGTCGTCCGTTTTGATTCGAATCACTTTTCCCCCAAAGACTCCTCCCCTTTGGCCCAAGGTGGCTACCCTGAACTCCTCGGACCTGGCGTTGCCCGAAACGATCAGCACCTGCCGCTTTGCGCAGCGCGTGGCCAACGTGACTTGGCGTTGCTAGGGCCCAAAAAGGGTCTCGTGAGGATCACGACTGGTCGGAGGGTGTTCTGACCGGAGTGGGTTGATTAACGCGGGATGATTTGAGAACGGGGATTTGAAGGTGAGCTGGAAGATCCATAGGAATCAAGAGCAGAGTGTTCCTCCCGTTCAAAGCACAGAAACTGAGAAGGTTTTTCCAACCCCCTTGATTGAGAGAACCCCTTTTTGGGTTCTTTTGGGTTCTCATACTCAGATCAATTCGAGAAAACACTACGTATGTTACAGTTTTTGGAATCTTTTAGAGTAAAGCAGTGAGGACTATCATTATGGTCTTGGAAGATCCTGCACAAATATCCTGCATCTTAGTACAACATGTATAGAACACAACTCAACTTGACTGAATTCGTTCAGAACAAGAGTATATACTGAACCTTTTCTTCTCCATCTTCCGGGACCGTTTTTGTCCGGCCTGGTGCACGCCGACCTGGCGAACGGGTGAGTCAGGTGCAGACCTTTGCACGAGTGAATGAGCAGCAAGACCCCCAGCTCGTGATCGCCAGCCTTCGGCAGGCAACGCTGCGAGCTCTAATCGTTAGTCAGTGGATTGAAAGCTCTTATCACTTATCAAATATACAGAGGATTTGGTGAACTTCCAAGTGTTTTGTTTCTTTTTCCCGAATGCGTAGCGAAGGGTTCTCGTGTAACTCTGGGGGTTTGGGGGTAGAATCTTGTTCGATGACGAATGAGTTGGAGGAGGTTTCGTACGAAACGCTTGTTTTGCAGACTTGAAGTGTGAGTTTTTGAGGAAGTCTCGTGTGACTTTTGGAGGAAGTCTCGTACGAAACGCTCGTTTTGGAGACTTGAGCTGTAAGTTTTGGAGGAAGTCTCGTACGAAACGCTCGTTTTGGACACTTGACGCATGGCTTTTGGAGGAAGCAAGACTGCCCCACTAGAGTGTCCCACAAGAGTGTGTTCCCACAAGAGTGCCGTACAAGAGTGTCCCACCAGAGTGTCGTGTGTGAGTGTCCCACAAGAGTGTCTCACAAGAAGAGCTTTCCACAAGACTTTCCCGCACAAGAGTGGCCGACCACAGTGTCCCACCAGACTGTCGTGCGTGACCTCAGAACTGGCCCCTTCGTAGTACAAAGCAGTGCGGGAAGCGGCGGCTTCTAGGAGGGTGGCCTCCGGACTCCGAACTGGCCACTTGGTAGTGCAAATGTAGTGCGGGAAGCAGCTTCAGGGAGCTGTGGCCGCAGCTTTGTAGTACAGATGCAGTACGGGAAGCAGCTTCTGAGAGCTGTCGCCTCAGAGCTGGCCACTTGGTAGGACAATGTAGTGCGGGAAGCAGCAGGCAACTTTGTAATGTTGGATCCTGATTAGTAAAGAGGGGTCCGCCCCTCCCTCTGAACCATTGGGAGGTCTTCCATAGCAAACTACCACCAAAACAAAGCTGGGTTCCTGGGAGGATTCCTTTTGTCATTGATTGTAGTATTTAGTTTCCTTTCTCAGGTTCTTTGTAAGTAGATATTCTCAGCAATCCTGTCATACTACTCAGAAGAGGACAAAGAAGGTTCTCAGGTTCTCTGCGGCTTTGAAGAAGAACTGAAGAAGAACTTTCAGCAAGCCAGCCATTGGCTTAGTCGTATTGAATTACTACTTCTATTTTTCTTCAGGAAAAACTTTGCACAATTGAGGACCCTTGAAGCAAGTTTTATTATTGAGGATCAGGGGCCTTCCGGGTCTACTACCTTGAATATTTGTTTAGGAGCAATCTTTACATAGACTACGGAATTGATGGCTTTCGGACTTATCAATTTCAGCAGGCCAGCCATTGAGTTAGTGGTTTTAAGAACTACTACTCTTTAATCTTCAGGAAAATACTTTGCTCCATTGAGGACCTTTAAAGCAAATTTCTTATTGAAAACCAGGGGCCTTCCTGGTCTACTACCTTGAAAGTTTGTCCAGGAGCAACCTCTACGTAAAGGATTGATTAAGGAGTTGATGGTTTTGGGAAGCTGTCAGTTTTGAAGAAGAACTGGAGAAACCCATACTTATCAATAATCTCAGCAGGCCAGTCATTCACAGGTCTCCGAAGTGTGTGAACCCGTGAAATCCTAATTATTTTTCAGATTGCAAAAAATTAGGAACCCAAATAGCGTAATAGAGGACCCTTAAAACAAACACGGTGTCTAGAAATATTTTTGAACATCTAGCGTTGTAGAGGACCCTTCTACTAACCAGGACCAACAGTAGTAAGGGGAAGAGGCTTCCGGGAGCTGTGGCCGTTGAACTGGCCACTTGCTAGTAAACATGCAATACGGGAAGCACCGGGGAGCTGGCCTCAGAACTGGCAGTGCAAATGTAGTATGCGAAGCAGTTTCTGGGAGCTGTGGCCTAGAACTAGCCACTCGCTAGTCGTGCAAATGTAGTGCAATTGGGGAAGGAAAACGTTGCTCGGCGTGTTGCTGGGAAGCGGGATGATTGGTGGTGTGCACGATGCATGGTGTTAGATGGTTGTATCTAGTCTGTGCGCGCCGTGTGGCGGCATGACGTGTGTAATGTCGCTGTGCCACGCGGTTGTGTGCAGCCTCGGTGGAACGTGCGTTTGCGTGAGATTGGGGGGAAGCAAAGCATGCTGGTGTATGCTTGTGTAAATTCGGCGTGTCGCTAGGGCGCAAGAGTGTCCCACAAGACCGTGCCGTGCCGCAAAGGAGTCCCACAAGTCCACGAGACTGCCGCACAACAGTTTTCCCATGAGAGTCCCACAAGAGTGTGTCCCACAAGAGTGCCCCACCAGAGCGTCTCCACAAGAGCATCCCACAAGAGTGTCCCACGAGAGTGTCCCACAAGAGTGTCCCGCAAGAGTGTTCCATGACAAGATTAGCAAGAATGTCCCACAAGAGTGTCCAACAAGAGTGTCGCACGAGAGTGTCCCACAAGAGTGTTCTACAAGTGCGTCCCTCAAGAGCACCGCATACAACGGTGTACTAGTGGAGTGTTTCACAGGAGTGTCAAACAAAGTTTGGCTGTTTGTTTTCGAGTGCGTGTTTGCATTCGGGTTCGTGGGTTCCATCTTGTTTTTCTTTCCAAACTGGTTGCCCCATTGCAAATCCCTATGACATGGGCCCACCGCTTGGGAATGTCCTCTTGCTCCCAGCGAACTTCTTGGACGGAGTCATGTCACGGGCACGTTTGAGTCCATGAAAAAAATACACCCAAAAGCACATGACTCTGTCCAAGAAACATCCAAAAACATCCAAAAACGCCGCTGGATTCCTCCGCTTCAGTGAGCACGTTTGGCTCCCAAAAAACTCGTAGAAACCCTTCCCTGTCGTGTTCATGTGTGTCAAGTACAACCGATCAGTGACCTTCTCTTCGGAGAGGGACGAAGTGATCCTATACTTTCCAGACTTGACGGATGGGGAGATGAGACCCATTCCGCCTGGATCGAAGTGGATGGGGGAAGAGATGAGATCGAGCCGTGAATCGGCGAGCAAGGATGTGACTTGGCTCGATCAGCCGCTCACAGGTTCCAACCTATGGCAGCGCCGAATGAATGGAAGTCAGCCAGCTTCACCAGCCGCTTGGGCTGGTTACTGGATTCCAAAGCCTGTTGAGCCCTCCAGCCACATTTGAGACATGGAGATCATGGAGTGTCTCGGGCAAAGGCCGAGTTGATTGTGGCGTGGTGTCACGGGTGTGTACAAGTGATGAGGGACCGACCCATGTTCTCCCCTCGTCTCTCGCTGCTTCTGAACCAACGATTTTCCTTTGTGTTTTCAGTGGCAGGCAACAGATTTTGATGATTTTTGAGCGGGCCATACCATTCTCATCTATTGAGTTCTACTGCTACCATTTGGTTCTGAACCATGATGATTCTGCAGCCTGTATCTGACAACGTCACTGTGCTTCAAGCTGTACAGAAAACATCCGAAAGCCTGCGAAGGCTTTGATAGCAGCTCTTTGTGGGAAGATTGCCACGAAGGGCCCATGCTGATGGCCCCTCTGGCTCACCGGTGATCGCCCAACGTGCGAACATCGGGGATTTCCAGACGCACCATCGTTATGAAGCAAAGTAGGGAGTGAGCTGGGATTGCGTTTCTGGTTTCGCGGTATGTTCCAAGTGATGTTTGGATCTTAGGCTGTAAGAATGAGGGGTGCCATGGGGGTTGCGCTTGGCATCGCTTTGCATAGCCGTTGCGGATGGTCAAGCACTGCTGTGCGTGTGTTCGGTGGGACTCTTGATCACTCAGTCTGCGAAGAGGAGGCTCCTTTATTGAGGTCTCCCAGTCTCCCTTCTGTGGAGCCTCGGAATTCCATGCTTTTCACAGTCTTCGCGTGGTTTTCTCGATATGTGCCTTTCACATCTTCATGTCTCCTTTTTTACGAAACGTGTTTGGGCCTTTGGGTGCCACCGAATTGCAGGAGAATGCACAGCTGAAAGCCGCCATCGGTGGGCAGGGGGGCGAGGCAAGCCGCCATCGATGACGCATTTTTGTGTCGTCTCCTGACTTGGATGGGTCGTTTCCTTTGCAAGTGCTTTATATAAACTGTGTGTTTCCCAATGTTTCCCAAGATGTCAAACAGGTTTATATAACGAAAACATGTGGCGTTGCCTGGCATGCTTGGATTCAGAGGAGCACAGAAATCAAAAGAATGGATCGCTCCTGGAACATTGAAGACACAGAACATTTTCATTTGGAGAAGAACCCCCAGGAAAAACTACAAGAGACAGAATGCTTTTCCCAATAGAGACCCTTTGATGACCTGTTGCGAGATGCCGTTGCTGACAGGAAGGACTAGACTCACTAGACTAGACACTACAGATGACGCACCCGGCGGGAAGACGAAGTGTGGGAGTCCTGTGGGGTTCTCTTTCCTAAATGGGTCCTCCATCCACTAAACTTTGGTGAGAATTTGGAGAACCTAATAGCGATGGCCTCCACCTGTTACTAGCGATGGCCTCCAACTTAAGAGAGATGGCCTCCAACCTAATAGCGATGGCCTCCAACCTATATATAAATTATGTTATATATAATGGAATTTGGAGACCCAAGGACATTTTCACGGTGCTCTTCCAGCTTGCAACGAGTGCGCGAACAGCGTCAAGCGCGGTGAGGCCCTTTCGGAAGAAGAGCTGCGGAAGCATTGCCAGAGCTTCTTGGAGGACGCTTCTGATCTGTGTGTTGAAGCATAGGGTGGAAGAGGGTCGTTGATGGTGGGTGGACAACGCTGGATGTGAGGATGTGTGAGGTTAAGATCCGATCAATTACGTCGGCGCCCGTTGTTAGATGGAGAATGGATGATGGGCTGGGTGGAATGGACAAAAGCCCGGAGCGCATGTTTTGCTTCTTTGACCATGTTTCTTCAGGCTGGCTTAAGCACTGTGAGTTTATCGCAGCAGAACACCCAATATTATAGATAATGAGAACTCCCGCGACTAAATAGATGGATTACAACTCCATCCAGGTCCGTTCTGGACAATCTTGAGGACCACAAGGCTACGCAAGGCGAGTGACTTCTTGGCATCCTAACCCTCTCCCAGAGCTGAACGAGAGACAGACTTGTGCAGGACGAGTCGTCGACCTCCTCCCCATCCATTTTCTCAGTTGCTTCTCTGATGGAGGCCCACATTGGAATGCAATTTCACTGGCCGCCAACCCCGCTTGAAGGTTGCAATTTTGAGCACTCTTGCTATGTGACATGTGAACAACTTATCACACCGCCCGTAAGAAAATGGCACAGTGTCCTGTTGGGAGCTGGTTGAGATGGTTGACTTGGTTTTTGGTTCCAAGGTGTGCCGGCTACACTCATTGAAGCAGGTGTGTGTTGGCCACGGCAAGACCTCAACAATGGGTTTTATGTGGTTTTATGATGTTTTATGTTTGTCTATTCGATATATACTATTTGTTCTACCAAAGGGATCCAAAGGGAGCAAAAAGGGGCACCCACTTTTGAAGCAGCAAAGCTTGTTGAAAAAGTCATCCTTTCACAAGCAAACGAACCCCGTTGATGAAGCTGACCTGCCGACCAAAACGGGGTGTTTCGCACCTGGGGTTTCCTTTTCCGCCGACCCTGGCGAGATGCGGCCTTCCTCGGCGCTCCGAGGCCTTCGCGGCGTTCCGGATGCTTCGCGAGTTGTGTTGGGAGATGCTGCGCAGGCGCTTGGTTTCTAGAGCTACTTGGCAACGGCTGTGAGTGGCTGGGTAGGCGGGTGGGTGTGGCTTGAGCCAGCAGTGCACCAGGCAATCGGTTCGAGCCATGAGCAGCCAAGTCTGCATTGCCGGCTTATCTTCAGTGGACACTGAGGCGGAAACTCCACCTTTGCAGGTGCGACACATTGTGGGTCGATGACATAGATCTAGGGCTAGGGAACAGAGAGTGAGAGATTCTTTGATATAATTTTGCCTCAATCTCAAGAGATGCACCTTCCCTCTCACTCCAGCAAACATGGCAAGTGGACACCCCTTTGGATTCTTTGGGGAAGGAACATCATCCTCCAAGTGGCCAGGGAGGAACTTCCATGTTTGTTGCATATTGGTTTATATAAGTCATTATAAGTCATATAGCACTGCATTTTCTCCAGTTTTGCTGTGGCACGATCCTGATGTTTGGGTTCCACTACTAGGCCAAGCCACCAAATCAGCCAGCTTCCTCATACCGAACTACCGGCTTCCGATGTTAGCTTCAACTTGTGTCCTCATGCTGTTGTGCAGAGTTTTTTCTCCAGGCAGCCGGAAAAGGCGAAGCGGAGACAGGACAATCCACTAGGGTCTTGCTGAGTGATTCCGGCAGATCTGGACCCTGTCTTGTGTGTTGAAGAACAACAGGCGTTGAACTCAAAAATTCTGCTGAGCTTACTGCAAAGCACTGAGGGTGACGTGGGTATCCAACTGACCATGGGTGCACCCTCTCAAAGAGGGTGCAACTTAACTAAGAGTTCCATGAGAGGGTCGCATGCGCTTCTTCATTGGAGGCGCTTGAATCCAAGTCGCTCCCTTTGCGAAACTCCACCCATATACATAACAACTTAAAACAACTTGCAACTTGTTTAGTACACATCGTGCCTTAGTGCAGCAAAGGAAGTGAACAAGTGAGACTCAACAATATTTCCCAACTGAAGTCTTCGACCTGTTTCTCGCAGCAACCCTGATCAACCCATTTGCAACGCAGAACAAGGAGCGCCAGACGAGAATGGATTCTCCGAGCTCAAAGAGGTGCCGGTGGGCACGATGGCGGTGGTAACGTGACACCGTGGTGGCTAGGGTTTTTATCAGTTAAACACTGTCAAGTTTTTGTGTAGATGGTTTTTAGTATTTAGATGGCTTTAGCACTCTCTAAGCATGTTTCAACATGCTTAAGATTGTTTAACGATTTTCTGGAAAGTCAAGCAATGCACATGACCGCGTGACGCAGGTTTCCACCCAAGACCCTCCAGATTGCGCCGCGTCAGGCGCTGGCGGATCGCGAGGCAGAATGCCGCACCTTGCGCGCGGCGCACCTGGGACTGCAGCTGAGATCTGGTGTGTCTTTCCAAGGTGCGAAATACAAAATCCAATTTGAATTCAATGCTTTGACATGTGGACGCGCGAGAACACATGCAGGTTTTCGTGAGGACAAGTAAACATGTAGACTCTGGATTTTAGTGAACCCCCCCCATATACGCAGAGGCTGTTCAATTCAAATGGGGGGTTATTAATCAAGAGTCTACATTACATGCAGAGCTTGATTCCAACGAGTGTTGCGAATGCACTTGAAATGGGCGCTGTGACATTCCATCGGCAGTGCTGCGGCAAGTGTTACAGTGTTCCTTTTAAAGGACATGTTGCGATGATGTCGTGTGTTCTGAACTTGGCGTTCAACTTGAATGATGTTTCATCGGTCAGGTCTGCGCGGGATCGGTTGGATGTGTCGAAGTTTCAACAAGTACTTCGAACTCGAATGAGCTGAATTTAACCGCCGCTGGCGTGTTCCGCCGGCTTTCCAGGTGGCAAGGCCATAAGGTAACCAAAAAGCAGACACGCAGACGAAAGACACATGTTTGTAGCAATTTGAGCACGGGTTTGGAAAGAAGGGGTAGAAAATGCCTGCAGTGGAACACAGGGTAGTTGTTTATCTATAGAAGAGTTTGGCATCTTAGCGGACAGGTTGGAGGCATGGCAGGAGGAGGGTGCTCCGTGCTGCAGCCTTGATCTATCTTTGGGGCGTACGCTTCGAGGATGCAGGTGAATGCGGGGTGCCGTAGAGGATGATGTGTGTGCTGTCTTGGCATAGTAGAGAGGAGAGGGGGGGGGGTGAGCAAAAATCCGCGCGTAGGGAAAAGACTTACAACACAACAGCAACAGCAACAGGAACATCCACAGAACACGCCGGCTAAAGCCGGCGGATTCTAGTAGGTTGCAGGCCACCACTATCAGTTTGGAGGCCATCGCTATTAGGTTGGAGGCCATTGCTAGAAGGGTGGAGGCCATTGCTAGAAGGGTGGAGGCCTTGTTTTGAGGGATCCAACCTGATTGAAAGCAACACCACCGGACGACCGAACGAGCTCCGTCTCGCTCCATGACGCCGGGAGCTTCTTGTGGGGGGAATGGTGTGGGTCGAAAGCCACCGAGTGGCCAGAGATCACTTGAGATTGCCAAGGACTCGCTTCGCAGGTAAAGAACTAGCCATAGGAATCATAGTAGGAATCATATAATCATATAGCTGAAACTCTTGATCGGTGAAGAACTCTCACAGTCAACCATTTCAGACAGAGCCAGTTCGTTGTAATGGTTTTGAGATGTTTTGAGAATCCAACTGTGTGCATATTTCAATCAAGGCCATTCAAGGCCAGCCCTCCACACATCTTTCAGGTGCGTGGTTTGACCTTGCAGATCCCTTGCAGGACACAGAATGTCATTATATACTATACTATATACACAGATGCCGTGCCCTGAAGGTTTTGGATTTTCCCGTTCTTGTAGACAACGCCCCGCAAAGGAAAATCACCTACGATTTCCAGATGAACTCAGGTGAACCAAGGTTTTGCTTCAGCAATTATGTAGTTTTCCCGGCATCGCATCTCGTCCTTTCATTTTGCACATGTGTGGGTGAAATTCTTGATCAATCCAGTTGCCAGTTCTCCAGTTCTTACCAGATTTCGATCAGATCGCCAGACCCAGGTTGGCAGCGCAGCCAGAGCGGCCGCCGCGGAGCAACCTGCGGGTCGGCGCTACGAAGGTCGGAGCATGTCGGAGAGGGCTGGGCCAGGGGCCACTGGACAGATTTGTTGGTTTTTTGTTAGGCAGTTCCAAGTCGAAGCAGAAACCAGTTTACTTGCTTCTTGGTGCTTCCACAAGTTTGGAACCATTGAAATGGAACCAACCTGTTTTTGTAGGAAGGCATTGGTCTTCGGACGCTCTTCGATTGATTGTTTGGGACGTGCGAAACTCCGACAGGCCTCCAAGCCCGTCCAATCGTACGTGTCCTGCGGCGTGCAAACGGCTGAGTTGAACCGCCCAGCAGGCTTCATGGGGTTCTGCTGTGTTCGAAGCGGCCCGGGTTCACCATGAATCAGCTGTGTTTTTTTGTCTGCAGCTGATTGATCAATTGGTGACTTGATAGATCACTACTGTACTCGTATATCAAATGTGAAGGGCTTTTCGGGCAAACCTTTCATTTTGGTGTTGCATGTGAAGGGTGCTGTACGCTGGTGTTTCAGACTGCATTTGCCGTTGAAGGTGGGTGAAGAGCCACGAATTGGTCGAGTCGAGTGATGCTCGCCAGAGCTAGCAAAGATAGCCAGGAGGGTTCCCTTTAGTGACAGCCAGGGCTGCTGTTTGGCACTCAAAACGCACACATGGTCTCGACGGAGTGACTAAGTAAGGTCCTGCTTCGGTGTTGATCCTCGATCTTGCCTGACTTGTCGGCCTAATGGCTTGCATAGACTAGACCCTCAAGTGGGAGGGTGTGTCAATCTATCGCCAAAATGTCTTTTACTGGGGATTAAGGGAACGGAAGAACCAAGTATTCGGCAAACTGCTGCAGTCCCCGATTGGCCTCTTGAACTATTGGATCTATTGGATGATGGGATTTCTTTCGTCTCATGATGATTCATCTTCCAACATCTTCCAACAAGTTATCGGAGTAATTCAGAACGACTTCAACAAACCGATATATATTTTACATATTTTTACAGCAACAAGGACGCTATTAGGTGGAGGCCATCGCAAGTAGGTTGGAGGCTACTAGTAACAAGAAGCTACTAGGGGCTCCTGGCCTTACTGCTACGAGCAAGGACGCTACGAACGGGGCTCCTGGCATCGCTACTGGTAACAAGAAGCTAGTTATTTCCCCGCCAGTCCTCATCCTCTCCGGCCCCGCCAGTCCGCCGACGCCCTCGGGCACGCCCCGTGCGCCCGTCCTCGGCGGGGGCGGCACGCGACCGCCCGGAAGCTCAGTCGGTCGAGGTGCGGAGGATTTTGGAGAGCCTCCAAGTTGATGGAGCCATTTGTTGGGCGATGGAATTGAGGTTCCTTTTTGGGGCGTTTTCAAAGCAACTGCAAAAGCCTTGGCACCACAGGTCAACATTTGAACCACGTCCATTTTGAGGGATCAAGATGCCAACAGTTCTGAGGAGGGTACTACCTGGAAAGCAAGATCCATTGCCATTTTGCATTGTTTTGCTCTTTTCCGACCCATCTCACTAGGCGGCGGCATCGGCTTCATTGGCTTTTGCCCGGAGGATGTGGTCGACCGTTTCGGGCGAGAGGGGAGTCAGGGCAGCCCAGTGCAAAATGGGGAGATCAGAGCGACTGCCCTCCCGCAGACCACAACGTTTGGTGGACATGATGGAACCTGGAGCGACTGCCCTCCTGCGGTCGATCAGAAAGTGAGGCCTGCTGACGGTTACATGGAGTTCTTTGGTGTTGTTCCATTCATTGTGTGGACTGAACCTCACTTTTCGGAAGCAAGACAATCTTGGATCATCAGGGATCTGGAAACGACTCCCCGCACTGAGGCAAGACAATCACCTTGCCACCCTTGCCGCTGGGAAGCTCATCAGGATCCACCTGAAGAGCGGACAAAGAGGGACTGCAAGCTGGACTTCCTTTGTTTGGATGTATCCATTGTTTAAAGAGGGGGATGCAGTGATGCAGATTTGTTTGGCAGCTATATGCACACCACGAGACATGTTTGAACCAGCAGCTTGCAGCCATTCAGCATGTCTCCGAGGGCTCGTGTGGGCAGCGTGCCGGACTTTCGCTTGAAGGTCGGGCCAACGGCCGGGGCGATGGAAGTTCTCCCTGACACTTTGTCCACTCAGTTCCAGAGATTTCTGAATGGCGATTCTGCTGCAAGATGAATATTTGGCATATTTGGCAAGCTTTTGTGGAACGCACCGTCGATGGTCAGCTCAACTTCTTTGATGAGGGGTTTTGACAATTTAAAGACGCCCTTGACCGGGGGACTTCGAGCTCAACTCTGGGCTGTGTAGACTTACAAAAAGTGCATCGCACCACCTGAGGTATAATAAACCAACAGTTTGTTCTTTTTGCAAGGGAGACGACTGGTGCTCGCGCACCAAGTAAAGGGTTGTTTCGGAGGCCTTTGCCGCACACTCGCAGTGGACTTTCTCCGCCCGCAGGGTGCGCAAGGGGCATCGTTGGTGGCCCCAGTGCGGGTCTGACCATCCGCTCGGGATTTGCACGAGAGAGCGTGGCGAAGTGGTTCTTCACTTCGTTCTTTTTCTGGCTCTTTGAAGCATACCAAGGCCAGACGAAGAGGTAGAGCAGGACAAGGCCACGTCAGACTTGCCAACGGAGTGTTCCTTTCCGCACTGAGGTTGCTTTTTCACTGTCATTGGTTTGTGTCCCCCCTTGTCTGGCGTAGAGTGTGTGAGAAGGTTTGACTAGACCCCATGTGCAGCTCCAAGATTTTGTGCCATTTTTATCAATTTTTAATGTTTTTCCTCTTGAGCCGATGAACAAACTGGGATGTCTTCATTTGGGTGGTCCATCCTCCAGGCCGATGGCAGGCCAGACTCGTCCGGCCCTTCCCCGGCTACAGCCACACCAGGCGCGAAATGGGATTGGGTGTTTTGGACGCCTGTGAAACGCAAGAACGGTCAATGTTAGTTGCGGCAACAGAAAGGGCTTGCAAAACTGAGAAAGAGCCAGGAATACCTAGGGTTTGTAGCGGGGTAAACTGGGTTGATCGCAGGGTTGATGGTGGCGAGTCAAGCTTGTTCTTGGTTGCATATAGATAGAATTTTGTACAGGACCTTCTGGTTGGGGCTGGCACATGTTGGCACACAACAGTGCCGTGTTATGCCGTGTTCATATACGTACTTCCAGGATTTGTGGATGATTATATACTGTAAAGGTATTTAATGTTTTGCACAGAGTTTGAATACCTCAGCGTTGTCCATATGGCCACTGTTGTTCGGTCCTCCAACTGGACCCGCTGGCGACTCGGTGTCCTTTGACTGCTCTCATGTGGAATGGAGGAAGGTCCATTTGTTGGCTGCTCACTCTCTATTCTGCTGCGGCTGCGGCTGTGTCTTCTCACATTTTCCCGCGTCTCGTTGCATGCAGGTGCTTTACTAGTAGTAACAAGAGGCTAGTAGTAACAAGTGCCACGCTAGTAGTAACAGGTGCCTTACTACTAGTAACAAAAAGCCATTAGAATTAAACTAAAATTAGATTAAGTTTAAATTAATAGCTTCTTGTTACTACTAGTAAGGCACTTGTTACTAGAAGCGATGCACTTGTTACTAGTAGCTTCCTTTGTACTGGAACGCTCCAAACCTGTTGGAGCGGACTCAGGCAAAGACAAGCACAAGCCGAGCGAAAGCCTCCAGAGCCTCCAGACCCCAGTGCCGTCCGGTGGGGCCCTGAGCACTTATGAAGATGAAAGACCAGGGCCTGTGAGCCTGTACGACTTGTACTTGATGTCTTGGCGGGACCCAGCCAGGTACGACTCCGTATGAAAAACAAGTCTCGCACTGTGCACAGTTTGTGCTATAGAGCTAGGTCTATATAATATTATACATAAGAGCAACAAGTGTATTTGTTTGACATGTGTGTTGCTTTCAAGAGCTTCTTGATCTGAAAGGGAATTCCACATGTTCTCGTGACATGGGATATTTTCTACGTGCAAGAGGTCAATAACACTTTGCAGAGATGTTGCGATGACAGCCTGGTGAATCCTCTTAGCTGCTTGCCAAGCTCTTCTAGTGTCAGCTGAGCTTTGCTGTTGCCTTCGACTTAATTGAAGTTTGCTTGTTTGTTTGTTTGTTTGTTTGCTTGTCTGTCTGTCTGTCTGTCTGTCTGTCTGTCTGTCTCCTTTGAGTGCTCGTTCTCATACATACACGTGTTTGGTTCTTTGATTGAAGAAACACGGGTGCCACCTCTCAGGTGCTTCTGCTGCCTGGTTGTGTGCCACGACGGCGGGACCGGCGTGGGGGGTCGGAAGTGTACCACGAAGGTGCCGAACCGAAGGAGATCGAAGCCGTTTGGAGGCCAGTATGGGCATGGAGGCCAGTATGCAGGCCAGTAAGGCCAGTATGCCGCTTGATGGCCACCTGCTTATGATCGAAATGAGGTGTGAAGGGTGGAGGACAACTGTAAAGTCTTTGGATCATTTCAATTTCATTGAGTCGTGAAATGATGCCCTGGAGCAGTGTGCCCTTCAAATTGCTCTCCCCAAAGCCAGTGTTGAGACTTGGTACCCTTGTCATCATTTGTCATTTGTCAGGTGTTTCTGGGTCATCCTCAACCCTTAGGCCCTAGTCCCAGTATGTCCCAGTCAATTCAGGGCTTCGCCGCTGTGATACTGACCTGCACTCCAGCAACGTTCTGATTCTAATCTTTGTTCCATCAAGAACCGGGTGTGTTGGGCCGAGTTTCAGATGAAAACGCTACAACCTATGGCAATGTCCATGGTCTGAGGGCTCTGCAGACCCTGTGAGTTTCTTTCACTCCACTGCAGCGTCCGTGCTCTCAAGGCCTCAAAGTTCATTCACCTGTTCCCACGATGGTTCTGCAGCATCGCTGCGAGACCGGTGATGGATGGTGCTCGGGCATTCCCACGCCGAGGGCCTTTCATCCCTTGGATCACCTTCCAATGAACAAACCATGCCAGCTTCACGTGCCGGACGATTTGTCCTTGCCCGTGAAAACCGTATGGCCACCAACCCTGGCTGACAAGATCCATGAAGTCCATGAAGGGGATGATCCAGAGGAGGATGACCCAAAGCCAACAATGGGTGCTCTCAAGCGACGTGCACGGAGGCCGCGCATACTTCGACAGTTGATTTGATAAGTAGGCAGTGTACTCTTAGCAGACTGTAGACAATGGAAATGGAAGGACATGGAATAGATCGGTCCAAGATAGGGTCATTCAGAATCATTAACGTTTCTCTACTAATTCCATGACCACTTCATCAGTCATCATCAGCCTATGTAACGAGCATTTCTGGCTGAATGAGCTCTGCGAATGGGAGAATATACTGTGTATATATATATATAGATGGCTAGGGTGCAGCATTCATCATGTCTTATGCCAGGAAAGACCAGCCACTGAATGAAGGTGGACATATTGTGGACATACAAACGGTTTAAGCAATTGTAGTTGGATGGGACATGCGACTGCAGAGCAGACAGGATACCTTGCACTGTTTTCCACAATGCTTCTAACAACGGCTTTGCACTCATACAGATTGAGGCCTATGGGCACAAACAGATGAGTCATGTCAGGACCCTTTTGGTTGGGAATAACATCAGGTGTCGGTGTCAAAGCAATACACTTTCTGCTCCGCTGTGCATCCCATAGCATGAAGTCAAACCAGAGAATTCGCTGAATTTAAGCATATAAATATAAGCAGGTGGAGGAAAAGGAGCTATATAAATAGGATTTTCTTCGGGCGCATGGCAAGATTTGAGCGGACTCAGTGCATTTGAAGCTTTTGAAAACCGAGCATCAGTCACCCAATCCCGACATCCCGTTTTCGCAGGCGACAAGAGGAGGAAGACCTCAAGGAGTTCCTCCTCAAGCGTGGATTTGCCAGCATCAACGCACCCCAGAATCGCACCTCGAGCCGCCGAGTCGGCACTTGGAGCACGTGCTTCTTTGGAGAGCGGGAGGAGCTGTATCCCATCCACGCTGCGGCGCTTGAAGGAGACAGAGACAGTTCCCATCCCAGTTCTTGGCGTGTTCAAGACACATCAGTTTCTGCAACGGGTCTGTTGTGGAGAGTTTTGTGGGCTTCAAAGTGGCAGGCGGTGACATGTTCGAGGTAGCTAGCAGGGCAGATTTCATCTTTGTCAAGGAACTTGTTTAAAAGCTGATACACCAGATATATATAGACGGATTCTTTCTGTCTCATGCCTTCGGCGGCAGAGAACGCAAGAGTCTCTCAAAACGGCCACAGCATAGCTCTGCAGCAAAGTTGTTGGCATAGTATGAGGAGGGCCCAAACCCCGCGGGCCCCTGGCTGCAAGGAGATTTGAGGATGGTCACCTTGCTGCTGCAAGCTGGCGTAGATCGTGAGCAGGAAACCTCCAAAGGGCGGACGGCTTTAGACATCGCAAAGAGGTCTGTGCGATGTGTCACTTGGTCACACAGCCGTCGTGCGCTGTCCTGTTGTATATGTGGGTTCCCTTGCCACCTAGCATATCTCATATTATGTTTTATAAATATATACATATATGTCATAGATCAGCAACAAACCTCCGCTGTGGACATGTAATGTGCTCCTGAGTTCTTGTGGGAGGAACACCCATGTGAAGCATTGAGAACAAGGGTATCGACATCTGAGGGATTTGTTCAACAATTCCACCACATGGGAACCAAAGGGGACAAGGGTTGGGCAACATCCCGGCAACATTTGTCACTGCTTCCCGATTCAACGTGCCTTCACGACAGCATGGCCCTTTGTTTCACTTTCCTTTGATTCCATGAGTGACATCAACAAATTGATTGATGACTTGTTGGATCTATATATAAATATTATATATACACTGTTTATACTAAAAACTCAATTTTATATAAGTTTTTTTTCCACACCAATTGAGGTCTGAAAGCGAAATCAGGGACAGCAGCTGTGGGATGTTTCTCCGCATTGACCCTGTCTTGTGAAGGACACGAACGGATGGCTTCCTGATAAATTCCGTGCCCGGTTGCATTGTGTGTCACTAGGGTGTCAATGCCTCAAACCCCATTCTTAATCCAATTGCAGGGTTGCTGGCGGTTTCTCATTGAAAATCGCATTCAAGTCCTGACCGCTGTCGTGTGGTGCCTTGGGGTGGGTCCATCCAGGGTGGCTCGCACAAGGACAGCCCGATGAAGGTGGAGTTGATGCAAATCTTGCAGGGCGCAGGAATCAAGACTCTTGGATCATCCACAGCCACAGCAAGCAGTGGAAACAGCAAGCGTAAACATTTTCTTAGGGGGTGTCTTCAAAGAAAGCCGGGGCGAAGGATTTGCGACATATATAGATATAATGGTATGGTGTGGCTTTGTCACACAATGGATGTTGACCTAGCTATAATTTGTTGAACCCTACAACCTGCAAGCAGGGACTTTCGACCAAGTGCCGTGACAAGCTGGTACGAAGGGCAACATGCAAGCAGCTCCCTAGAATTAGGCCGCCAACCAAGGGGGGGACCCTTCTCACGAGTGCTCGAGCAAGGCCACGAGGCCTGGTTGCTTGAAGGTGAAGTCTAGGAACCGAATGAATAGTGCAGGGGGGGAGCTTCCTTGAAGAAGCGTGAGCTATCCTGATTATCCTGCGTCCTGTCGGTAGTAGCATCCTACTCAAATAGCTACTATAGCAACCTCTTCTAGCGGCCTACCCCCCCAAGCTTCAAAAAAGGGGGTGGAGGACCCAGGGACAACACTGCTGTGGGAAGATCCCGAAAGCTCAGAATAGACGTGGTATGCTGTGGTTGAACTCGTGCCGGTCCGGATTGGTCGTGCTTCAGGACAGCGTCAGCGTGGTCTGTTCGGGACCTGTGCAGCCGCGTGCCCAATCCTGAACCTTGTTTGCGGCAAACGAAGCGCCGCGAGACAGCTTAAAGATGCATTAGCGCACCATGATGCAGTGAGCAAACGCCCCATGTAGATTTCGAGCTTGCGGCGGACGAGCCTCATGTAGGTGAAGTGTTCAGGTTTTACGGATGCCTTACTAACTTTTTTGTTTGACTCTACAAAGGATATCGCATGTCCGTCAATGGGCATTGATGGGGTGCATGAGAAAATGAGAGCCATCATGTTTTACGTCGTGATTGGATTTGGCAAGATGATCCAATTGGGCAATCATCGCAACATGTTGCCCACTGGGAAGCAGACTGCAAAGTAGGGGCACCTTAGACAATCAAAAAAAGCGCCGCAGCCGTGACGTTTTCAGGCGTGCAAAAGATGTATAGATGTTGGACTTTGCTGGTTCATTTTTGATCCGGACGGTGGCTAACTTAGCAATACTCTTTGGCAGTCTTCTCTCTACCTTTAGCTTGGCTATTTCCCATGAACCTTGTGGAAATAGGCCATTAAGTTTTCTCTCCCTGTGCTGTTCTTGAGCGAAGGGAGGCTTCAAAATGCAGATACCTGCAATTTGAAGAGATCTTCACCCTCCGCAACCGGTATGTTTTTCAGCTTTCAAGTTGCTCAGAATTTTCTCGGTTCATGTAGAAATCTCATGAATGAGATATTTTGAGAGCTCAGTGGTAAACGCGCCTTGTGGAAATTCGTTTCACATTGGTTGTGGAGCCCGTGGCACCTTTTTTTAACCTCTCCCTGTGCTGTTCTTGAGGCAAGGGAGCCCTCAAGCTGCTCGACCGCTCGATTGATATTTTGCGATCCTGCAAAGCGGATGCACACCTTCGCCCTCCACAATCCGTTCTCTCTTAACATTAGTCAAACTTGTTCTAGAAAAATATACAGCGCAACAATTGTGGAGCGCAGGGCAGTATTCTCTACATTTCTCTACATCTCTCTACCTTTGCAGTTAGCTTGGCCTTTTCCCATGAGACTTGTGAAAATAGGCTGAGTTTTCTCTCCCTTCAGCCTTCTCAAGCCAGAGCAACCCGTGCTTCAATGCTTCTCGATGCTTCTTAGAATTCTCATGAGCAGGATATGTTCAGAGGTTACGGGGTATGCTAAAAGGGCTTTGCGGAGACATGTTTCACATTGATTGTGGAGCGCATGGCCGCATGGCAGTTTCTTTACCAATACAGTGCCATAAGCTTGCCAATTTTCCGAGAGTGCGTACAAAAAGGGAACGAGCAGAGTATCTTGAGAGGTCATTGGGTATGCTCCGAGCTCCGAAAAAAAATAAGAATATATAGTGAATGTTTCGCATGGCAGCTTTCTTTACATTTGCAATTAGTTTGCCTATCTTCTGCGAGATCTGCAAGGTTTATACACCTCGACCCTCCACATGCCGCTCCTTTCTAGGTTTGCCAAACAGATACTATATGTTGCGGATAAGTTAGTCAAGCTAGTCCTGGAAAGATAACTAAACAGATGCATTGGTACTGATCGCAAAAGCGTCACACTGTCACCTTTGCAGCCAGGGTGCGTGTGGTGCACATGTTCAGAGCTTCACTCATCATTGTATCTAACTGCGAATTCTTTCAACTGTTTTTGGCCCACACGTTTAGTGTTTTGCTCCTAGAAATCTGGTAGAGGAATCTCTCGTTGAATTTGCGGCCCCTAGCAATGTAGGTCGGTTCAGGAGAACGGAAGTCACTGGATTCAGGAGTTTCATGCTCCTTTGGGGCTTGGATATGATCAAAGCGTGTGTGGCATTGTAGCTCCCAAGCAAATTACCAACGCTATGGTGAAAACAATATTGCAGAAAAAAACGATGTATGTTCCTGCGAAGGCCGAATTTCCATGTCTATGAAATGTTCCCCAAAGTAGATGCATGTGAAATTTTCATGCCCACCTCATGGTTTGTCCCTTTGCTCTGGGTTGCATAGTCAGGGATAGTCCCTAGGCCGATGGTTCTAGATTCTGCCGGCCTCCAAGACAGCAAGTGTCTAAGTCTGTGCGGCTCATGTTGTTGTTGCTTTGCTGTTGCCGCTTTTGGGGTTGTTCTTCCCCATTTGCGACCTGTAGCACCTTCTCACCTAGCGAAATGGCGTCATGTTTTTCTGCTTCTACAGCACGCTGACTGTTCATGTCACGGCTGAGCAGGTGGCGCAATTTTTTGTTTTTGCCATAATGGTGAATCAACTTGGGGGAAAGGCATGGAAAGGCACCATATTGGTTTTTGTTCGGTATTGAGATACGCATGTGCACACTAAATGCATCAATATTGCATTACGATTAATTCCCTTTGTCTCAGCAGACTCTTGCTTCGTTTGCAAGCAAGTGAAACTTACAATGTCAGAGTATGTGGAATGTCCAGTCGAAGGTGAGTATCATGATACACCACTGGACCTTCCACTGGCTGATGGTTTTGGCACCGACCGTGTCAGGCCCTCACCGAGCAGGAACGGCTCCACATGGCTGATGCCGTGAAGGTGCCCACCTCCTTCGCTCTCGGTCTCCGAACAGATCTGCCAAGGGGTGCTGTCGGAAAAGGTCCTAGTAGCCTCCTTTGCTACTAAGTTTAATTCTATTTATTGTTTCTAATAGCTTCTTGTTACTACTAGTAAGGCCCTTTGCTAGCAGGTTTTCCACCATATTACAGGTGAGATGTCATACTCGCGTCGCGACGGTCGTTTGACACCGCACCAGTTGTTTTGAGACACCGCACAGGGCACCTATCGACCCTTTAGGTCGGAGACGCCTTCAGGTAGAGACATACTCGATTGAATTGGACTCGACTCTACTCTATCATATTGCATTGTAGGCATTATAGTTAATGAAATACGTGATTTTTTCGACCCTCTAGAATTCGTACATTTTTTCCTTGACATTCTGCGCTGTTAAGGGGGGTCCAACTTATATTCAACAATGCCTGCAATGGGCCATTGTTTTTTTCCCCTATTATCTACTTTTTTTTTCATCCACTGCATTGTATCGCATTGTCCTATAATATACTAGTTTATCTACTATATCGTATTCGACTGAATTGAACTCTACTCTATCACGTTGTACCGCTTTGTATAAATTTATATATCATATTTACTCTATGTTCCGACCCGCTTAAATTTTAAGGGGGTCCCGGTCCACTTGCATTCAACGCACCAGCGTGCTGTTATCTAATCCATTGAATTGAGTTCTATTTCATTACAGTATATTGTATCGTATTGCCCCCTTGAAATTGTACATCTTTAAGGGGTCCAATCTATATCCAACATCCTGCAAATTTTTATTTCCTGCAATTCCATGCAATTCCCTATATATATATATACACCTATTTATTTCATGCAGATGGGGCAGTTTTGTATAACTATTTTCCACTTATTTATTGTGTTAATGATCCCCCGTTCTGTACTTGCATCATTTGTATCACCAGATCCATGAAAGGCAACCGCACGACTCCTGTCAACAGTGTGGGTAATTTCTCACTGCAAGCGTACCACTTCATGTCCAAAACCCTGAGCAAATGTTGCAAAACATGGTTTGTTCCCTGTGTTTTGCATCCTTTTTTCTTCCACCACCACTTACCCAGATATGCGTCACGATGCCGGACATCAATTCCCGCCAAACAGTCACTCCCACCTCTTCTTCTTCATCCTGACTTCGAAGAAGACACCAAACCAACAGAAAAATTTGAGGAAAGACCACCCAGATCCGACAACTTCGTGAAAGTGCACGATTGCCTCCCCCCAAATATGTCTAGACAGATGCAACCAGCATCTATCTATTCTCAGCTCTTACACGCAGCCCAATCGTTTTTCACCACGACCTTGGAGGCTTACCAGCTCTTCCTTTTGCACGACCCCCGGGCCAAAGATCTCTGGCCAGAGCAACTGACCACGCTGCGGCAGGCACCTTTACCGGTCCGTTTGTCCGTTTGGTTTTGAGGTTCCACTCTGAAGAACACATCACACGGAAGGAGATGGCATGGGCCCCTGGAAGACTACTTTTCTCCACAAACAGGTTATCCACTTCCATGTTGGTGGAGGGAGAGCATCTAGCTTGTTTGTTCGTTTGTTTGGCAACCTGACCAAAACACGGTTGGGTGCCAAATTCAAGAGAGAGCACCTGAGCAATGTGCACGTCCTTCCGAGATAGACTTAACACGAACAGCTTGAAAAACACATGGCTTGAACTAGCCACAGAGTTCAATGGTGAGCTTCGAAGCGAGCGGGGTTGGTGGGGAGCAAAGCGCTTCAGTTCGATGCAGGGAGGCCTCCGGCTCGAACATGAGAGCGTGGATGAGAAGAAGTCTTGTTGTTTGTATAGAACATGTGAGTGAAACGATTCCCAAGGAAGCTTCTAGTTCCTAGAAAGCTCTATTGTTACTAGTAGCGATGGCCTCCAACCTAATAGCGACGGCCTCCACCTAGTAGCTTCTAGTTACTAGAAAGCTTTCTATGTGTGGTTCTACGCCGTATGTTTTTGGTCTGGTCTACGGAATGCACAAAATCACTGAGTCACTGCCCATTATGAAAGAATATGAAAGACATACTGGGACGGGTTCCGGACTTTAGCTTCAGCTGAGTCGTGCGCATACAGTGCTGGGTTGGAGTGTGGTATTCGCACCTGACACATTGAACGTACCTCCTACCGATCCTGCCTCCACGCCATGGAGTTCACCTGCAGCAATTGCGGTTTCTCCAGCTTTTCAAAGCTGATCTATCAGGAGAAATCGAGAGAGAGGCGCCAGAACCCACAAAACCCACAGAACTGGCGAACCATTGAAGTTTGCCTCCCTGGCGCAAAAAGAGGCGAGAGATTGAGGTGCTGTTCTTTTTCTGCCTTTTTCTAAAAGGCTATCCGCTGTCGTAACACTGCTGTCGCAGCCATCCCAGATGGGAAAGCTCTTTGTCGCCCGTGACCTGGAAGAGTTGTAGAATCCGACGGGGAAGGAATGGCCTCCGCTCAATCGGGGTCTCCATGACTTTTCGGTGAACAGGAAACAGGACCAAAGGAATCCAGCTCGGATACCTTTTTTATCATTTTTTTGGATCGAAGGTGAGCAGTGAGCAGGCGAACGAAACGGTGTTTTTTTCCACAAAACTTGTTTGAACCCCTGACTGTCAAAGAGAATATGATGCGCCATCGACAAAACGATGAGCTCCGGACGGCCGCGTGATCATTTTGTTTGCGTTACCTTGAAAAATAGATTATACCCGCCGGTATACGTATGACAATGTTTGGAACGGTTAAGGTTAAAACGAAGCCTGCTTATTGTTCAAAAAAAGGATCCTGCAAGTATACTTGCGAGGCAGCAGACCTGGAGTATGCGGAACCATACCAGTGGACTGGACCACCAGATTCACTGGATTGCTGAGGGCCAACGTACCGGATGACATTTCTTGAGACTCGAGACCACTTTTGTCAATGAGTGCAAACCAGAATGCTACTAGTATAGTATATATTAATATAGTGTATATATATACTATAGTTTATACCCTTCCCAAATACTATATGGTGAAGAGTTCAACAACTGGGTGTTCCACAGGAGCATAGCTGCCAAGGGGACTCCTCAAGATGGAAGTGCCCTGGCAGAGGGGAAACTGGATATCTGGCAGAACACCAGCTGAAGCGTTTCAGTAAGACGATGTGATCGGGTGGGTTCAAGCTGTCCTAAATCTTTGACCAATCACCTTATGAAGAAGGGGGTTTCAAGGACTTTCAAGGTAGATGTGGAAGACAATGGAATGCAGGAATGCATGTTTGATTGTTCAGGAATGATGTTCGAGAGAAGCTTCAGCATCTCCGACCAGCTAGCAGAGTATGGCAAGGGAACTCTTTATACCTTCTACACTACCTTCTACACTTTTTTTTTGTCGTGTTTTACCTTTGTCTACAGCTGATATGCCTGTGAACCACAAAGGGACCTCTTCCGGGATTCCCACCGGCCATCGGCGGAATTTGGCCGAGTTTTGCGGTTGAACCAGGTTGAACCCGGCGCCGGGGCCGTGGTTTTTGGTCAAATTCGGGTTGCTGCCAGGGTAAAATTCTGGAGAAAGGGTTGTGACGATCCTCAGTGATGAAATGATTCATCCTTCAAAGGCAGCACGCATGGAGAGACACAATTCCCACTGCGATGGAGTGTTTCAATCAAAACCCGTTTTTCAAGACGGAGAACAGATGAATCGGTTTCTTTCAGCGACAGCCACTGAGTTTCCAGAGTGGAATTCGGCTCCGGACCCCCTGTTCCCGACCGTGCTCCATCACCCGGAGTGGCCATGTGACGCCGGCCACTTTGTCAACCATACGAACCCGCTGAGACTCTCGAAAGAGAACAACAACTTATGAGACTCTCGAAACCGCTGAGGTCTTACCAAGTGGAAGTGAGAGAGGAGATTGTGGCCACTCGGTGTCCCACGTCGCTTTGCATGTGGCGCATGTGGACACTTTAAAGTTGGTTCTCTACGCATAGGGCCGGTATGGTCTAGTAGCTATGACGCATCCCTCATGTGTCTGTGACGGGCCACTTGCCCACCCCTGCAGTTAAGGGGATGAGTGGACCGGGTGTGGCCCGTTATAACATCTTAAAACACAACACAATAAGTGGGTCCCCCTCCAAGTTCATGAGACAGTATCAGGATGGCAAGAAAACACTTTTTGGTCGACAGAATGCAAGCTATGGGGTCTTGTGTGTCTACAAGCTTTTAGCTGAGCTCAGGCAACATAACCTCGACGGGTGAGGTCCATGAGCGTGAGAATGACCGTTCAGTGCCTTCAAGGTGTTGACAGGACGACCTGATAGTTACATCGGTGTGGGTCATAACCTCAGCCTACAAACCATAGAAGGTTGACATCCCTTCCAATTAGAGGAGTCTGTTCATTGTCAGGTGTCAACCACAGCCACTCTCACCTCCAAGCCTGTCATTCTTCGCTTGCCGGCACTGATTTTTGTTGGAAGAGGTGGGTGATGTTTGGACGGGGAGGATTTGGATTCCATGGTTCAGCGTCATGCGTCTCAAGTGCTGTACTGTCCTCCAAGGACCCCCATCCGGTGGCAATTGCCACTCCAGTGGAATCGACGGAGGCGCGGCATCGTGGCAAAACTCGCGGGCAGTGAACTGGGGCGCGGAGGTTCAGCGGTTTGACCATTGGAGGTTCCAGTAAGGTAGACCGTTGATCAATAGAACCCACCACACCATAAAATGGGGGGTTGTATTTTGATCAAGAGTCTACACTACTCGATCAGATGATGTGAAAGAAGATGAGGATTCCAGGAAGTCCACAACCAGCGTTTAGTTGATAGGTGAGCGATTGAGCCCTGCTCACACGGGGCGCATTTGGCCACCTGTCTCATTTGGACCAGAAGTTGCACGCTTTGGGGAGTTTCATTAGAACATGTGTAACATGTGGGTTTGCCATTAAGCCGGGAAGGACCTCAAGGCGATTTACATCGATTCAGAGGCCATTTGTTGTGGCTGTGGCAACAGGTCTTGATTTGCCACAATTCCTTCCAGGCTGATGCTCTGAATTGGGGAATCATGCAAATCCACTAAGGCGACCGTGACACTGATTAGGTAGTCACGGTAGTCTTTACTTATCTTTAGGACAGTTGGACTGTGGACGTAGCAAGTACAAGGCCACGAACCCGTCGTCCAAGGTCACGATCGGTTTTTGAGCGCCAACATTTGCGCAAGTGCCGCAAGCGCCAGGACGTAGGCTTGCCAGGGATGGTGGCGGATGAGGATGACTGCAGCTTGGCTGGAGAAGTTGCGGTCGAATCACCCAACTTCCATTAGCTCTCCTACCATGTCTTACCCAATGCTCTAAATGTTTCGGCGGAAGGTGCTTTGAATCCGGGGAATACATCCACGTTGCATCACGTTGCTATGGCTTCCATCATGCTCCAATCGTCCAGTGCAAGATGTTCCACCTTTTTTCACCCACTGTACCTTCTTGTTACTACTAGTAAGGCACCTGTTGCTACTAGCGTGGCACTTGTTACTAGTAGCTTCCTAGAGTGATCGGTTTCCGTCATGCCAATCCATTCCATGCGTCCGTCAGCCACCCTCTCGATCCTTCCCTGCGTGTGGCTTGAATCGCTGTGCTGAGATCGGGATCCCCAAAGCGCGCCGTTCCGTTGCATTTGCGGCTTTAGTGCTTTCTCGCAGATGCTCTATGAGGTGCGGAAACGGTTAAACGGGTAAAGAGGAACCGGTTCGGGTTACAAATTGGTTGGAAGACGAAGAGGAGGAGCGGCTGGAGGGACTTTCAGACATTCCTCTACAAGTTAGGATTATTATAATGGTTGATTAATTATCTATTTTTCTGGGTGTCCATCATTCGTTAAGCGTTGCTTGTTTGGCCCGGAACTTAGCGGAGAAAGGATCATTCTGGAAGCGAAGTTGATCAGCACGACTTGCTGGTTTGTTCATCATAATTATAATGGATGACACACACTGACGAAGACATCACGACATTAGTGGATGGCATGGGGCGCTGGAAGACAAACATTAGGGGGGCTTGTTACCGAGGCGGAGTGTATCTGTATCTTTAGTTGTGTTTTCAAACTCCTGTGGCACATGTATTGGCTTACTCCACCTGAGCTTTTGTTCTAGCGGACCAAGCAGATGTTGCAAACGTGTAGTCGGCGTAGGCTACAGCTGGAGAAGGTTTTCGTAGGGGCTGATCATGAGTCTTAGGGGCAAGACAGACAAGGGGATGATTAGATACAATTAGCGTATGCCAACCAGCGATCGCTTTACTTGCTAAGAGACTGACGTTTGCCATACCCTGCACCAATCAGTGACCCGTACGTGCCAGGACCACGAGTGCAAGTTTGCCACCTGTTTGACCGTGTGTTGGCACAGCGGCCACAGCCCACAAAACCCCTCTTTGTTCAGGGCTGTAGCGGCAGTTGTAGATTTGCGGGAAATACAGGTTGTTTGGCAGAAGCATCTACTGAGTACTGTAGTTCTTACTTGGAAGCTGCAGGGACACGGTTTCAGATTTGAAACGGATTCCAAGGAATGCTTGCACTGAGCATAGTCGTGGCAGTCCTTGTACTAATGTTGCTAATAAAGGCTGATTGAACGTCAAAACTAAAACATGGAACATGGTCTTCTGCAAAGGCTGTGAACTGTTCTACAAACTGGGTATGCAATTCTAAGCAGTTATTCCGATATATGAAGTCATTAGCAATTGTACACACGTAGTCATGTGGTTCCAGTACAAGAGAAGGACTCACCGAGGAAGAAGCACGGGTCACGGCAGGTTCAGGTATCAACGGAGACATTCCACGGCAGGCAGGTTGGACATTTAGTGGCCACCAAAGAAGGACCCTTCTGTTTGGTGGAGTTGTTCATATTAAATAACTGAACTGTGCGTCCTGTCGTGTAATGTCATATATCTCAAATATATAACCCCCAAAAGAATGGTTTTTGTGGTGTTATTGATCCCTCACTGTCCCTCACTCACCATGACGATGTTCAAATCCTTAGACCTTCCAACTTTGCTGAAATCACCACGCAACTTTTTTGAAGTGTGACGCGTCAAGTCCCCAAGGATTGGATAAGCCGAAGGAAGAGTGGTCCATGTCATGGTCTTCAGGGGCTTAATGTAATAATGCCACATTAAACAAACACATGCAAACAAATCTAAACCTATTGACCTATTGATACCTATTGTGCATTGTCATGGATGCAAAAACAAATACACCACTTGGAAGAACCGGATTGACATGAGGAAGACGGTCTAAATCCTTCACAGTAGCTTTCCAGCTCTCATTCAGAAGTTGTGGCTTTACCGACTTATTTACAAATGTCGAGGTATCACATTGGATTTAAAGCCGTTGCAGTAGAAGCGGGATTCTCAACAGCCCAACCCTTCAAAACTGCTTGCCTAGTCTGTTTGGTTCAACCGTTTTTTGGGGGGTGAAGCACCCATTCGGCCGCCTCCTGCACTCGAGGTGATGCGGGAGGCAGTGAGGGCTTCGGTCCGAGCGAGCACCACCTCACGCTTGAAGGCGGGCGTGGCTGCAGGATTCGGTCCGGGCGCGGCTGTCTTCGACACCCGGAAGACCCCCCCCTGGGCCTGGCACCTTTCATCAACACGTGAAAGTGGGACCTCGAGGTTGCTGATCTATGTTGCGAATCCGAGTGAGGACCTTCCTGGTTATCACATTCCATAATATCTCATATTCCTGTTGAAAGGTTTGGCACTCAAAGCATTGGGCCTTCATATGTACCTCGCCAGTTTTGTCGACACCTTTGTCAACCACTATGTAGCCTCTTGCATACTTTCTTTGTGCGCCAAAGTGGCGGGTCATAGCTGATAGAGCTTCCATGCTCTTCAGATTGATCATGTTGGATCCTCTCAACCATATTCAAAACATCGCCTTCAAAGATCACCTCTTGATATATAGATCCCAGACGTTCCGATACTTGAACCAGTTCTTCACGAATTGCCGAGTTCTCCACCTTTTCATACCTTTCCCGTGCCAAAGCTCCACCGAGGACGTGGGCCTTCACCACGAGCGCGTGGGCATGGTGAGCACGAAGCAGGTTGGGTCCTGGACCCCGTGGAGTGGGAATTTTTAACGTGAAGCGGTTGTACAGGTCCGAAGACATTGAAGATGTATAATATGTTACGTTATGTTACGTTCGTAGCGTTCTTGCTACTAGTAGCGATGCCAGGAGCCGTTCGTAGCGTCCTTGCTCCTAGTAGTAAGGCCAGGAGCCCATAGTAGCTTCTTGTTCCTATTGGGAATGAGGATAACTTTATCTTAATTTATGATCATATCTATGAATGATGTAGCACAGTGTTCGTGTTCCGGATGGTGGCTATGTGAGTTTCGGGGAGAGTGACCCGTGCCAATCAAAGCTGCAGTCTAAGCCTTGCCGGCAGATCTTGAACAAGAGACGGTTGAGATTGTGTGACGCCTTTCGGCTCTCCTACTGAGACAAAGTACGTAGCGCCTTGTCTCTGTCCAAATTTGGTCTGGTACCTGCGAAGAGCCTTCGGAATCCGAGGAACATCGTCCGGGCGGAACGGAGCGGAACGGCCCGTCCCCATCCAAAGCGGGCGTTTCGATGCACGAACGGTGTGGTCAAACGGTGTTAGCAAAATCTCTAAGATCACGTATTGATGTTCTTTTTGCCCACCCGGATTGCCACTGGGGTGTGCCTATAATCCTAGCCGCAAGAGAATGTCTGGTGAACACTGAACACTAGAATGTCACTAGAATTCTGCAGTTGCGTATTACACACCTTGCAAAAAGGTACGTTTCACATTCGACCTGGTTGGCCACGAAGCAACGGCCAGTAGATTTGAAAACAACAAATGGACTGGCTCATGTTTCGCCAGCCTGTTTCTCTCAAGTACAACACCAACCCAGAGGTTCCATTTCGATTACTTTTAAACACTTAGACATCGCCAACAGACCATTTGCTAAACCCCATCTGTCAATGCCGAGCGGTATTGGCCTATCCTAGTGCAATCGCTGCCATCGAAAACGACAGAACGATTTGTTTGCCATTGGAAGAGCCCAAAGTCATGCCCCGCTTCAATTCAATAATCCTGGCACACTTCTGCTTGGCCTTCACATTCAAGTCATGCCCCGCTTCATTATATACATACATATTTTCTCCATTGTCATAAAGAACAATTCGACTCCAAAATAGGCAACTGATGTTTCCTCCACTCTGGTGACGTGTCCAGTTTGGGGCACGGATGGATCGCTCTCAGGGCCCGCAGACGGTGCTGGTGAAGACCAGGGACAGCGGGAAGGCGAGGGGTCTTCGGATGGGCGAGGGGTCGTCAGACTCATTGGGGATCTGTGGGGCCGATCTTTGAGCTGAAGAACATGCCAGATCATGAAGGCAGTACAGTACAGTACGAATAATTTACGTATATTTATAAATCATGATGCTCGTAGAAGATCGGACTCTTAAGCCGACCGGTCGCGTGGACTCACACCAAGTCTTGTGCAGCTGAACAATGTTTCATCGATCCGACCACTGGCCCAGGTGCTCTTTGGCCCCCGACCGCTGGAGAAGGAGAGGGTTCTGCTTCATTGGGTCAGAACCTGTTGGGACATTCCTTTCTATCAATACATATATATATATATATATATCCATTTACCAGCTTTGTCTCGTGGTGTGCATGACATGACAAGTGTATGGGGGCTTTGACTGACCATTTTTGACCCACCATTGCAGTTCAGTTCTGCATAGTTCGAGATAATCTCTGTGTTTTTTCCCCGAATGCGTAGCGAAGGGTTCCCGTTTATAGTTGGGGGTCTGGGGGTTGGAGCTGTGTTTGCATGGCTTGCGTCGTCTCGTCGTCTGTCGTCGTCTCTCGTCGTTTGTCGTCGTTTGTCGTCGTTTGTCGTCGTCGTCGCGTCTCAAATTTGCTGCCATTGGGGGAAGCTTTTGCAAGTGACTTTTCATGGATGTGTCACGTGTCAGTTTGCGCCGCTATTCCATTGTGATTTGCATGACACCAACATGTCGCGCAAGAAACGTGATGCATTTCGCTGCACAGGCGCAGCGTTTTGTGAGATCCGCAGATTGCTGCGCAGTTCCATTGGGATTAGCGCTTGGAGAGTCGTGTTTTTGGGGTGTTGGATGTGGCCGTGCCATTGGGATTTGCGTTTCAGGGTGTGGCATCGAAGCTCGGTTTTCGTGACAAGTCTCAGCTGAAATGGCGATTTTGCTGGATGGGAGTGTGCTCAGAACGGGTCGAAATCATTCCAAACGTGTGGTGTGGTGCAAATTTTGTTGAAGCTCACATGAGACGATATTGTCACTTTTCGTGGCAGGCGCAGGACTTTGTGCGGGTTTTGAGGCGTGGAAGTGCGATTCTCGTGGCAGGCGCAGGGAATCGTGAGGTTGCGAGGTGTGACGGAGGTTACATTTCGTGGCAGGCGCACTACTTTGTGCGCGTTAGACGTGTGGACGCGGAAAGATTCGTGGCAGGTGCAGGGAATCGTGAGGTTGTGCGTTGTGGTCGAGGTGAATGTCGCTGTCACATTGGGATTGGCGTGTGAGCGGATGTTGTTTGGAGGGGCTGGCATCCCGAAACTGCTTGGCAGGGCTGCGTGATGTGTGTGCCCCGCTTGGTGTTTCCGCTTGACTTTTGGAGGAAGTCTCGTACGAAACGCTCGTTTTGCAGACTTTGACGAGTGAGTTTTTGAGGAAGTCTTGTACGAAACGCTCGTTTTGAGACTTGACGCGCAACCCTCTGAGGAGATCGCGCGTGTCGAGTGTGCGAAATGCAGGCGAGAGTGCGATTTGTCCCATGTGCGCGCAACCCTCTGCGGAGATCGTGCGTGTCGAGCGCGCGAAATGCAGGCG